AAAGTACTATGATATTCCGCGTGTTGAATAATCCGTTTGAGTGAAGATTCTAATTTTGACCAGCGGATACCGTACAAGAGAGAAAGTAAACTGCGCGAAAGTGGTAAATATGATTTCGTGTTTAGCGTACTACTGCGCGTACTCTCCTCCCGCAGGCCAAGATTTAGGCAAAATCTTGACCTTTGAATTAGGTGAATCAATTAGTTTTATCGGATAACGCTACTGTGCGAAGTTATTGACGTGCCAAACCTCTAGACGAAGTTCTTGCAAAATACAATTCTCACTTCTTGAGCATCTAATGCCGACATGCTTGAGTCTTCTAGCAACGGAACGGCTAGCGGAGGCGACTGCTTGCGGCAGCTGACGTGTTTATAGGCTGGTAGCAGCTCTGCCGGCGCGGGGGGACCCTTAGTAAAATCTAGGCAAGAATGAAGGACTAGTGAGGTTGTTAGCGCTTTTGACAAAATAAGCATGTACAAACTAGGCTGAACTTGATAAAAAACATAGCACAGTATACTTTGCACATTTATCAGAGACTTATCTGAATTTGATTTCAGTTCACACAGTAAATGCGTCTTTTGGGATGAGCTGGAAAGAATTGGAAGAAAGACACAGCAAAATAATTTTTGAGGTAAATGGCGTGGTTGTCATCTACTCCGATAGAATCCTCTTTGATTCCAGGACATGGCTATGTGGGATTCTCGTATGGTGGCAAATTTCAAGCTGATGACTAAGTTACTGGTGGAGTCCTGTAAAAGTGAGAGCAGGCGCTACTATAGTCCGTGTTCTTCTTTTTGACTGTGGTTTGTTAGGAATGGTGGAGAACAAAGAATTCTTACGATGGCTAGCTGCTGAGCAATTCGACCTTGTTTTCACACATATGTATGACATCTGTCCTATAGGCCTTATTCATCATGTAAAAATTCCTTCATGGATTTGGCTCAACAGGTACGTTTTTTCCGAAAGAAACTGATTGTGTGCAAGTATTACAGTGGCGCCCTGATGGATTTTATAGCGAATATCATGGGGGTGCCTTTGATACCCAGTTATGTTCCACGTAAGTGAAACTCCACGATAGGCTTGATGCTTTGCTTTTCTCAATTAGCACGTTTAATCTTTTCACAAATCCTTTGCAGCGTTCTTACAAGAAAGTTCGGATCATATGGATTTCACTGAGAGGGCAAAGAGTTTGGTAGGTCACACGATAATGCCAGTCTTTTGGAAGTAAGTATTATCAAAGCATAATGTTATGTAAAGTCTGGTACAACAGGGTATAAATTTGAAGGATGTTTGCGGATAAAGAGACAGAAATCTTCCGAAATATAATTAATCCTAATTTTCCGGACATCGTTGACGTTGCCAAGAAGTGCCCTCTGGT